TATTGTATTGTATTATGTTATAACTGAATCTGAGTTTAAAGATAAATTACTAGCGAGTTAAATTTATTTAATAAATTCAGTAATTGTCAAGTTAAGGGAAAAGAAAATCAAGATGCCATAGATTTGAAGACACATTGATTAAAATTTCTGTGTTTGGGTGTTAAGAATCCTAACCCTTTAATTTTCATTAGTGACCAGCATTGAACGTCTCCTTACAGTAAAACTACTGAATGAAACATTAAGGTCAGGAGAATAAAGGAAATGATCACCAACTAAAAAATCTTTTGACTGATATTCAAATTCTCCTGTCAGTACTTTAGGAAATGTAAAAAGAACAGTATTGAGAATATGCATACTGATGCTGGACTATAAATATAGGTGTAACAAGATGATTGGAGATTCTTGGATACAGCAGTTATCAAAAATGTTCAAGAGACCTATTCTCTTTAAAGTACCTCAAGGTCTTTCCCCTCTCTCACCTTTAATTCTATTTTGAGGTTCACTTTTTCGATGTTCTAAGATCTTTCAGAATCTTATTTATTTATTTATTTTTTACAGGTTTTACTAAATGAGCTTGGTTTTGACGAGAAGCTTCTCTCACCCCTGAGAACAAATTACTTGATGCCAATCACAAGATTGTTGTATCCTGAATGTGGGGGCAACACCTTAGATTCACACAAGGCATTCACGGTACATTACAAGATGGAAGAGGATCTTGATCTCAGTTATCACTATGACAATGCAGAGGTCACTTTAAATGTATCACTTGGTAAGGAGTTTATTGGAGGAGAGTTGTTTTTTGGTGATATGAGACAGGTAAGCTTTGAATTTGAATTGCATCACCTTTGTGTCACTGAAACACTACATTTACATAGAAAGAAACTAGCATACAGTGCAGGCGACCTATTAAGGCGAGTTAACATTACAAGAGTGTGATTTTTTATTCGATTGGCCATGTTTGAATAAGACCCTCTTGTTTCAAATGTCTTACTCTTCCCAGTCTTCCTCTGCTGTAAAAATCAAACAGGGGAGCTATGATTTTCACCAAGAAAACACTGAGTACTTGCTCTCCAAAATTTCGCCTGCTCTGCAGGCTGGAAGGAAACCTCAAGATTATGAGCGAAGTCCAAGATCGAAAGTTACGTGCGGAGCGCAAACATAATTTTTTCGGGCTGATTTTTATGGACTCGCGCTACGGACTTCGTCAATAAAATGATGAATTACCTGTGTTAAAATTTGGGGAAGAAAACAACAAATGGAACACCCTTTATAAACAAATGCTAGTTTTGATTTAGACTTGGGCCTTTTTAGGTCCCCCTGAAAGATACACAATGTACTCAGTGTGAGCACGTGACAAGTTACGGGCTTCTTCACAGAGGTCAACATATGCATGGAGCTTTGCCCATCCAATCAGGAGAAAGAATCAACTTGATTATTTGGATGCGGAGTTCTGTAGTGCGTGATAAATTGTGTCCGATGTGTGACATGGAGCCAAGACTAGTGCCATGTTCTGGCGAGGGGGATGGATTCACCACCAGAAACTCTGTGCCAGTCTGTTCAGCTCTTTAAGCAAGGACCTAAAGGCTATAGAGAAAGCAAGAAGGGACCCAGGGAACTTAAAAAGAAAAAACTTGGGGACTGCACCATATCAAAATATACGACCTGCTTTGTGATCGTCCAGATGCCTGTAGTCCTGAAAAGGACTTTTGCTGGTGACAGTACCTTCGATTTAGCGTGACCTTAAGTCATCTTAAGAGCCGACTGATTTACTTTTTATGTATAATAGAAGTCAGGCTTCAGCCGCTTTGTTCTTATTTTATGTTTCTTTTCGTCATGCGACAGAGCGAAAAGCGAGCAAGAATACGGTAAGCGAGCGCGAGGGCGACTGAGAAGCAGGTGGAAAATTTCTTTCCTCGTCCCAGCCCCCTGCAATTGTGTTCCTTAGATTAGCTGGCGCTCTGGGAGATGGGCAGATGGAGAGTTTGTACAAAGAGAAAAGAAAAGTGACAATCGTTGAATGGCGAAAGGGGGTAGGTTTCAAAGGAAACTATGGTGCTGTGTCGGTGGGAGAAACAAAGTAATTTCGGTTTCATCAACTGTTGAATAGCGGCATGGCAACTCATAAGCCTTCGTTGTCCAGCTTTTGAATGAAAATTCAAAGAACTCTTTCACACGATTCCATAACTATAGAAAGTTTCTTTGAAATGGGCCACTCATATCGTTGAGCTTCGCTACCTTCAAGTATATCGTGTGGTGTTTGGTCAGGCTGAAATTTAGGCGTAGACAAATAATTCTATCATCCTCTTAAAGGTGCTGTCTGAGAAGGTCTTCAGTTTTGGTCCGAATGTGAAAACTGAAACTGTTTCTTAACCCCTGGATATGCGTCCATTGCAGTTTCCCAAGATACCAGGTTTGAGAACCGTCACATGATAAAACGAGCAACAATGATAAAGACTTTTATTTCAAAACGACAAGAATTACATTTAAGAGACCCATCCTAAGATCTCCTTAAAAACACCTTCGCTTCAAAAAATGACTATTCCCAACACCAGCACAGTAAAGCCCCAAGCGGGATAAACATTGAAATCGAGCGCGCGTTTCAGTTCATATACCTCATGTAAGTTACCTAACTGAATTGGACGCTGAAACAAAAAGCTTCCTTAAAGTTCAGTACGCGCATGAGCAGGCTTAAGATCTCCGGTTACGTCTACAAAGCCGCCAACAGGGCCTCCAATCTTGAATTTCAACTTCTCGCTAGGGGTTAATTTGTCAAGATACACCACACGGATAGTGAGATCTTCATAAGTGCGAAAGTACATTGCCATGTTGGTGAGGTCCTTGACCACAACCCACGAAGTGTAGCCTGGCGTACTTTCATGATCATGGGATGAAGAGACTCCGCGAGGAATATCAACAGTGTTCATGATGTGGAAAGCCAAGTTCACCGCCTCATCGCTTTTCTTGACTGGATTAGCAAAGTGCACCATAGCCGCAGAACGTACTAGTCTCGAAGGGGGAGTGAAATCTCCTGGGACACCAAGGAGTCCACTTCCTTGGCCAGTGGGAGGGAACGTTGTTTTACCCAAAACCAAAGGATCATGGGCGAACTTGGAAAGTTGGACGTAATTGCGGAGGTTCATCACTTGGAAGTCATAGGGTGGGGAGTTGGTGACGACACCAATTGTATTATCGTACAGTTTTGGTCCCTGTTCGGTGTACTCAATAACGACGCCGTCACCAGTTTTGTCGTTGATAGACCAGTGTAATTCAGAGATGAACCCGTTCATAGATTGTCCCCACACAAGTGGGAACGAGTCCTTTTTCCAAGCCTCTCGCACCTCTTGAGCAGTTGCGAAGTTGCCTAGAATCCATGATTGGAACGCCGAGTTGGAAATGGCCGCACCACATTTGTCTTTGGGGACGGTCTGGTATTTGGTAAAACTAGGAAACAAGAGTGCACCCGCGGAAAGTCCAGCGTCATTTAGGCCGTCAGTTGCGTAAGGCATCTCCCAAGCGTCAAGGTAAATGATCTTGTATTTATTGGTCCAGGATATTGCTGGTGAAGTAGGGGAACACGTCTCTGGCAGCTCTACAGTATGGGGGTGATCCTTTGGCTCCACCACGACATTCGGCAGGAGATCGAAAATATACTCCATGCTCCGCCCGATTACAACAGTTTTGTCCTCGGCGGTCAATCTAATCTCAGTACAGGCGTCGGTGACAAGAAAATGCGCCAGCATTATTGGAACCACGAGTGCAAGCTTCATCGTTCTAGAAGATTCAGAAAGGCGACAATCTGAACGAAGGTTTCTTTCGATGTGTAATAAAAACTTTTTTTGCCACTCCTTTTATAATGACTTTCAAGGAACTGTCAGACAGGTGTCTATAATTCATGAATGATACTTGTCAAAAGCATCACGTTCGTGACATTTCCTAATTAAAATATCGTGATGTCCTTTCAGTCATGCAATCGATATGCTTCGTCTATCGTTCTTCGAAGACGATAGGTTTATTAATGGTAAAAAATAATTGATCTGTCTACAGACAACTTATTAATAGCACAGTCAGTAAGTGAAGATTGTGGGGTAATCAAACCCACCTTTTCTTGCCGTCTGTCATCGCGGTTAAGTTTTCGAACCTGGCCTTGCTCATCGCTTGATAGTATTTCTTTCATTTCTGCGTAACCAGTTAACAAAAGCTGCTTTTGGTTTGTTCAGTCGCACTGTGAGAACACTAAACCAAAAGATAGTGTTCAGTCGGGAACCTCCCATCTTAGCATGAAGCACGTTTCTTTCTATCTTTGATCTTTGGCGCCTCTCCAGACAAGTCACCTGCCACTAATTTTTTATTCTCTTTTTTTATCACTATTTTTGTTTTACCTGTAGTTTCACCTTACAAGTCACCATCTATGATAAAGATAGCACTTTAATTAATCATGCATGGTTGCTGTAGGTCAGGAAGAAGTCAGGAAATTTTACATTGAGTCTGGGAAAAGTTTGCCTTTGGGCGGAAAAGTCAGAGGAAAGTGAATTCACAAATAAATATAAACTTATAAGCTTTCTCATGATGAAAGATGCGAACACTTCAGTTTTTGTGGTGTCGATGTCACCCATGCGAGCTAAAGGTAGTTTGTGAATGAAATAGTACGCTTCTCTTTTTATCTACTATTGTTATCTACTGTTCTTTAACCTATCAAATTCGCTGGTACATTTCACAGACTTGGAACGTGTTGGAATAGTAGAATATTTTTTAGAGAAATTGAAAGACAAGCTGATACTAGCTTTCCAAGGAATTCTAACCCTTTTTCCACTTTAAGTTAAGGAAGTATCAATCTATGTAAATTGCATGTAACTTTCTAAAAGCGCAGATAAATGGGTGGAGAGGATGGATGTGAGGGAAAATCGAAGGTCATCATTTAGACTATTCTGTGAAATTGTCAAGTCACTGGTCAGGGAAATTTTACACTTATCAGAGATAAGTCGGAGATTTTCAAAAACTACTGGCTGTGGCGACTGTGTGCATGTGGATGACATCAATTACTGATTAGTAGTTTACATAGTAGCCGTTCTAAATCTGGCATAAAACTAGCGTGAAATAAACTGTTAATACTAGTTAAAAAAAGAGAGAAAGAGAAAGAAATGTGATACGTATAATCGTTATTTCATTGCGCAGCAGTAGAGTTTCTCAATATTCTCTTTCTTTGGAAGTATAAAAAAAACCCATCTGTGAAAAGACATCTCCAAGGGATATCTGTTCCGTTCCACAGTTGGGTGGCAATGGCATGAAATGTTCTGAAGTTGAATTTTTCTTGCCCTTAGACGTGATAACCAGCATTTTTTCTAATTAGGCTCTCCTTTCACAAAGGTAGAAAATACTTCCGACCCTGGCCATTATATATTTTATGGAGTATGGATGTTTTCTGCGCGAATGATATCGTCAGTCGGCGTGTAAAATCATGTAAGATTACCTTCAACATTGGTTGAAAATTTCTGCCGACTATGGCCATTCCAGACTTCATCAAGTGGGGATGTTTTCTTACACGAATAATATCGTCAGGTGGAAGCCGACCTAACTAAGCAGATAACAATATTATATTGTCGTTGAAGAAAGCATCTAGTATCACTCTGACGCAACTTCTCCGAGCTCGTAGCTACCTATTTAAGTGGTCTTTTAATTAGTTGCCCCACACTGCATAACAGCCCGTCGAGAATTGGTTTGTAAGGGAATGTTACAATGTTTTCCTCCACATGCACAGATAGAAAAGTTGTTGCCCTTTTGAGCAGGCTATAGCTAATTCCAGAGTTTAGTTTGCTGATGACGTAAACAATTTGCAAGCTCCCTTTGAGATGTTAATTACTTCTAACTCTTTTTCTCCAGTCTCTCCTCTAGGGCTGAGTCGTATAAGAAATATTTTTTCACTTTTTCGCGAGGAAAAATTTGTCAAAACTTTCACAGTTTACAAATATTAACAGTAATTGCGTCAAACCAATAATTTACTGAGGGGCTGCAACGTCATTTACAAACCCATTTCCCTCATTAGAGAAAACAGAACAGAACATCTTGAGCGAGTTACTAGGCAAGAATCGTATGTTTTCCTAGCATGACCTCGGCTCCTCTAAAGATTGGGGAATACACTTCTTGTTGACAGATTTATGTCTTAACAAACATAGTTAGCCTTTGTGTGACCCATCCCCATAGCGTTATTTTAAAGTGGATGAATGGAAGTCTTGTCTACACAACGAAGCCATTGAGCATAAGCTGACCCACCTACTAAGCGTCGTTTGGAAATACATGTATGTATGTCTTGTCTGCATAACGAAGCTTTCGAGCAGTTTTAATCAATATTAGCTTCGTCTTTAGACGTTAGGCTTCATCCATTAAAGCTGAACCAGCAATTTGCATTTGTGAGGCCGCTATCTTGTAGTGATGGTGCATTCTTACACGTGGTATCGCTAAACCAGATGGCACTCGTATCAACACTTTTTGTGTATTGAGAGTGGAAAAAAATATATGGCTGTAATATTGGAACTCCCAGTACAACAGGAAGCGGCTTGGATGTTTTTTAATTCCTGATTCGATACATGTCTGCGAGCGGTCGCTTAAAGGTTATTTAGAGCGCTGAGTAGTGTGCCTACTTGGGAAGTGATGATGACTCAACCAGAGAATTCAGAAGTGACTGAATGAAATCTAATTAAATCAAACGGTAATTTTGATGAAATCATATTTGATCAAATCAAATCTTGATTTAATCTACAGAATTTGATTCAGAGCAACTTGTCATAATAACATCCAGGTTTTCAATTTGCAGGGTTGCATGGGAGAGAATTTAAGTATTTTCCAGGTTTTCGCGAGGAAAAAAATTGACTAAAATTTCGCTTTATTTAGCCTGTGTACAGCCGCCCCCCTCGTTTTTAAGTATATTCCAAAGCTTGACTGATGAGCCGCGGCGTCATTCACAAACCCCAAACCCATCTTCCACCTTAGAGAAAACAGAACATCTTGCGCGAGTTACCAGGCAAAATGAATCGTATTTTCGCGGCCGTTAGGTTGTTGTGGATGTTAAAGAAAGAAACAACAAAATTAGACGATTTCCCATAATTTGGAGGAGTCTTAGCATGACCTCGGCTCCTCTGAAGATTAGGAATACGCTCCTTTTTGACAGATTTACATTTTATAAAAACATAATTAGCCCTAGTGCGACTTGCCCCTTAGATGCATGCATGCTTTGGCTTTTGAGCAGTTCCAATCAACATTTGCTTTGTTTTTAGACGTTAGGCCTCATCTCATCACAGCTGGACCAACAGTTTACGTTTTTGAGGTCGCTATCTTGTTGTAATGGTGCAATCTTACACTTGTCATCGCTCGACCAGATGGCACTGGAATCAGTCGGCACTCGTATCAACTTCACATTTATTTTCCTTTTAGAGTGGTAAATCATTAATGTGAGTAGAAAACAAATTATGACCCCGAAATCATTTTTTTGTTGTTGTTAAACTCCCAGTACAAGAGAAAGCGGTCTGGATGTTTTTGTTTTCTGATACGATACAAGTCTGCGTGCGGTCGCTTGAAGTTGAGTTAGAGCGCGGCGTAGTGTGCCCACCTTGGAAATAATTTGATGACTAAAGTACGGTGGCCCAGAATGCTCAACGCAAACAAAAAATATACTGCAGCAAATAAAAAATATACTTCAGCAAATAAAAAATATACTTCAGCAAATAAAAAAATCAAAACGCAAAGAAAAAAAGTACTGCAGCAAATAAAAAACTGCAACGCAAACAAAAAATACTGCAGCAAATAAAAAATGTAACGCAAACAAAAAGAAGGAAAACGCAAACGAAAAAAATTGGAACGCAACGCCAAGGAAGACTGGGTAATAGTTCTTAGTTTCCCTGAAAGCCGCATGAACTGGAACTTGCTTTTTGTCATGGACGAAAGCGATCTGCGTAGGATTATAGAAGATTGCTTTCATCAAGGGTATGAAAATGGAGTTATTATCACTTTTTTAAAGGAGCAGCATGGTACTGTCATAAGTTCGCTGCAAAACATGGTTTCGGAAAGGCGAACAAGCAAAGGATGGAACGAGTGTTGACGGGAAACTAAGAACTATTACCCAGTTTTCCTTGGCGTTGCGTTCCAATTTTTTTTGTTTGCGTTTTCTTTTTTTTCTGGTTTGCGTTGCATATTTTATTTGCTGCAGTATTTTTTGTTTGCGTTGCATTTTTTATTTGCTGCGGTACTTTTTTTCTTTGCGTTTTGATTTTTTTATTTGCTGCAGTATATTTTTTATTTGCTGCAGTGTATTTTTTATTTGCTGCAGTATATTTTTTATTTGCTGCAGTATATTTTTTATTTGCTGCAGTATATTTTTTATTTGCTGCAGTATATTTTTTATTTGCTGCAGTATATTTTTTGTTTGGACATTGTTTTGTTTGGAGTTTATGGTGGATCTTATGTCGCGTGTCTTGGTGGAGCCCAAGGGTTACCCTCACACTGCATCTCTACCAAAGACCTCCTCCCGTAGTTCACCAGCAATGACCTGGACCAATAAATACAAGATCGCATACCTTGATGCTTGGGACTCACCTGTCAGAAGTGACGGCTAAAATGACGCTGGACTTTCCGTGGGTGCTCTTCTGTTTCCTGGTTTTTCCAGATATCAGTTCATCTCCAAAAGCAAGTGTGGCTCGGCCATTTCCAACTTGGAGTTTACGTTTTGGATTCTGGGCAACTTTGCAACTGCTCAAGAGGTGCGAGAGGCTTGGAAAAAGGACTCGTTCCCACTTGTGTGGGAACAACCTCTGAAAGAAAACACCTTTGAATTGCACTTCTCGAT